AATTTGATAAAAATATAACATATAATATAATAAATAAAAAATATAATATAATAAATGAAAAAAAAAGAAAAAGAAAAAGAAAAAAAAAAAAGAAAAAACAACAAAATTTAAAAAATATATTAAAAAAAAAATATAAAAATTCAAAATAATGTTCTGTTTAATTGAATTTTTTTTTGGTACAAATAAATTTTTAATTCAGTTTTTACTTTTTTTTATATAGGGTTTAATTCTTTTAATCGAAAATATTATTTGATTTGAAAATTCTCTATTGGTACAAAACAAAAACACACCTTTTCATTGCAAAAAAAAAAAAAATTTGATAAGATATAATAAATAAAATTTTATATTGTTTTTATTTTTAATTATTTATAAACCATGGAGATAAAAAATAGTTTTTTTTTTATGTTTAAATATCGGTAGAAAAAGTTAATTCACGATTTTCTTCTAGTTCCTTTAATCTTGTTTCATAAGTTGCTTTAGCAATTTGATAGGAATCTGAACCAAAATCCAATGATGAGGGTAATTTTCCAGTAGTATTTGATAGGTTGTATAGTGTTTGAGCAACTTTGATTGGATCACCTTTGGCAAATGGTGAATACTTTTTAATCATCTCAATAAGCTCATTGGTCTTGTATTCTTCGATTGGATTTTTGGTTGCTGCAAAGTTACCACCACTTGAAAAACTTGTACGGATACCACCCAACCCAATTAAAACTACAGATACATTGAATGGTTCTAATTCTTTTTGAAGTGAATTTGAAATCCCATTAATAGCATGTTTGGTCGATTCGTATGCTGAATATTTGCCACCAATAGTTGAGTATCCACAATATGATGAAATATTTAAAACTAAACCAGAACGTTGTTCTCTAAGATATGGGGCTGTGTGTCTGATTACATTATAAACACCAAATACATTTACTGCATAAATCTTTTGAACATCATCAGCTGATAATTCCTCCACGGCACCTAGAAAACCATATCCACTATTATTTACAACTACATCTATTCTACCGTGTACTTCAATGGTTTTCTTTACACTTTCTTTTACACTTTCATCATTTGTTATATCGGTTTTAATTGCCAATAACTTTTCTAAATTCTTTGTATCCTTTTTCTTTAACTCGTCAATAGTTTGATCTGGGTAACGTGTAATAGCTGTTACCCTATTACCATTATTTAATAATAATTCTATTAAATCCAATCCAATGCCGGTGCTTGTACCTTTATTATATTTAAAAAAAAATAATTATAAAAATAATAATATATTAAAATAAAAAAAATATACCTACCAGTGACGTACCAAACTTTGTTGTTATTATTAATAGCTTCCATTTTTATTTGTTTTATTTATTTTATTTTATAATTTTAATTTTGTAATTTTATTTGATTTGTTTGTAAATTTTTTTTTTGATTTTAAATAGTTTTTTTTTAAAAAAATATTTATATATTTATTTGTTTAAAAAAAAAAAAAATTTTTTTAAAAGAATCATTTTTTTAAATGTAATAATTTCATAATACATCTTCTAAGAACTTTAAATATTGGTTATTTTTTTTTTTTTTAATTTTAAAAAAATAACTATTTGAAGTGGGACATTATTGATTGAAGTGGGCCAAAGAAGGCTTCCAAACAATCAAATTCTTTAAAAAACAACAAAAAAAAAATTCAATATTTTTAAAAAAAATTTTATTTTTTTTTTTACAATTATTAGAATTTTTTTTTTTTTTTAGATTTTGAAAAGATAAATTGATCATTCCTTACATTAGTTGAGATTCAATTTTATTAATCAGCAACAACAATTAATTATAATTTTTTGAATAAATTTAAAAAAAAAAACTATTATAAAATTTGAAATATATTTTGTCTTTTTTAATTAAAAAAATAATGTTTAATTATTATTGTTATTTGATTAAAGTAAAGTAACAAATATAGCCATGTTTTGTAATAGTTGTGGTGTTTGTAATGGTGATGGTGCTATCTGCTGAAATGCTATTATTGAATGTAACGAATCTCCTAGTGTTGAAAAAAATGCAGGATTTTTCGGTATACAGTTTTAACTTTATAATAACAATAATCAAAAGATTTACATTATAATTATTTTAAAAATAAATATATATTAATAAATATATTTAAAAAAAAAAATAAAGATGATGTTTTTTATATTTTCAACTTTTAAGTTACTAGGACCTTAATAGTTGTTTCTTTGGATAATTTCAAAGAAAATGGTTTATCATCAACATTGTTGGTAAAGATTTGTAAGAGATTACCTTTATCATCATTAATCGATGAGGATATAGAGCTCTTCTAATTTTCTTTAACGGAGATTGGGGTATGACTGCGTACGTGGGAACCTTTAGCAATTTCTTTTCAGCCTCTGTTAATGGGATTTTGTTGATACTTTAATATTGGAAGGATAGTGCGTTTCGAATGTTTGGATTTACTGTGTTTTGCCTATCATTCTCGGCTATGACTATTTCCTGTTTAATATAATATTATACCAATATTGGTATAATTTAAATGAATTAATCAAATTTAATTATAGATAAATTGTTCAGAAAAAAAAAATTTTGATTTTTTATTTTTTTTTTTTATTTTTTTTTTTATTTTTTTTTTAATTTTTAATTTTAAATTTTTAATTTTTCATATATTAAACAAATAATAATATTTCTATAATATCATGCCTTTAGTTAATAAAACTGTTGTTACCTCACCAGATACTTTCGAATCATCATTACAAGATGCTTTAAATAAAACTAAAAATGTAGTTTTTGTTTCTTTCATTTCATCAATTGATAAAACTACCTGTTCATTATGGTGTAGAGATTGCCAAATTTGTGTGTATTAATAAATTAATAACAACTAATAACACTCTAATATTTACTAATGCTTTAATTCTATCATTATAACTCGATGCAGCCGAACCAATTGTTAATGAAGCTTTTGAAAAGTCACCATCTGAAATCACCTTAGTCGAATGTCAAATTGAAAGAGAAGGGTAAGATATCAGATACATTTATTTAGATAACTCTGAATATATATGGCTATAATACTAATTGATAAACACAAAACATCTATATATAGATACAAAGGTAATCCAGAACACCCATATAGAACCAATCCAAAGATTCAATTAAAAGCTATTCCAACCTTAATGGTTTTCAATAAAGTAACTATACACCTTTTATAATTTTATTCTAAATTTAAAAAGCAACCAATTTGATCTAACATTTTAATACTATACAGGATGGTTCAAGAAAAGAAAAAACTTTAGTTGAAGAAGAAATGGCAGTTAATGATGTTGTAATTAATTTTATTAACGAAAATCTTTAAAATAATAATAAATAAATTTATAATCATAATTATAATTGTAAACTTAAATTTTATGCGTCTCTAATGATTGTGATCAAAATAACCACCATTTAGAAAATAAATACATGAAATTTAATGAATTAAAAATACACACAGAAATATATAATGTTTATTTCTATTTTTTAGGTATTCATTTTTTTTGTTTTGTTTATTAATATTATTATTAATATTATTTTATTTTTATTAATGATTTTAATTTATTTAAATTTAATTTAAATATAATAAATTAATTTTTAATTATTTTATAAAAAACTACAAAATTTTAATATTAATTTTTTAAAATTGTAATAACTTGTTTAATTATTTTATATTATTATTATTATTTATATTTATATTTATATATTTATATTTATATTATTATGATTTATTTTTTTATATTATTTATATTATTATTTTGAAATTTTATTTATTTAAATAAAATTTATAAACTAAAAATGGAACAGTACCGATAATTATTGTGAAAAGCAAAGGTAAACCAAAGAAACCACTACTGCTTGAATCGAGATTGTTATAATAATTATCGACCTTTTGAGATTTTAAATCCTCTAATGATAATTCAGCCTGTAATGTTGAAACCATACTTTGTGCTCTTAAAAGCAATGAATTTGCCATTTCTAGTCTATCTCTGATCGACTCCATTTTATCTTTGGAAATATTAGTTGTATAGGTGACTTTACCATCATCTAAAGGAGTTTGTGTGGCCAAAGCATTAATTCTTGAATCTAAAAGGATTAATGAATCAGAGAATCTATAGAGTTGATTGTTCAATGATCTTGATGTGCTAGAGTTTGACATTATACCAATAGTTAATCCAAACAATAAAGCTAAAACTAAAAAGAAAATACCTGCTAAAACACCCTTTTCGATAATTGACATTTTATTCCAAATTGTACTTGACAATGTTTCACCTTCTGGAATTGTGAATGCTGTAGCATTGGTTGTTGTGGATGTCAATGATGTAGTTTCTGAAATGGTTGTTGCCTTTTGTGAAATAACTGGTACCTCGGGTGCTGATGATACTGTTGTTGTAGTGATTTTACTAATTGATTGTTGTTGTTGCTGTTGTTGTTGTTGTGGTTGTGGTTGTTGAACAGGTTGTTTTTGTGGAGTAGCTGGTTGAGAGCTAGCAGCAACTGAAGCTTGAATATTTGGAATTGGTGCCTTCTTTGCCTCTTTCATTTTATTATATACATAAGTTTCAATTTGATTTTTAACCATTGTATTCCAAAGTATAAAAAATTCTTTATTTCCTTGAAGAGCTGATTTTTGAATCATTGAAGATAAACCCCAAACAGATTTAGTGAATTTAATTTTTGAGGATAATTTGGCTAAACATGAAGTATTATCAATAGCTTGAACGACCAATAAATTTTCAACAGAAAATGAATCACCATATGGAACATCTTTTGAAACTGAACTAGATTGAAGAATTAACTCGCTCTTATTTTTTAATTTACAACGTTGAGTTTGAGCAACTCTTGTACTTTTTGGACCAATCTTGAAAGAGATGGCAGTTCTAAAATCGATATTTCTATGAATACAACAATTTGTATTTTGTTTCCATTCGGAGAGTGATTGTTCTGTGTATGAATGAGTGGTATTGACACTTCCCCAAAAGTCGCTTCTAATTATAATTTCATAAAACTCTGCTAATGAAATTTGATACTTCTCGGTGGACCATGGTGCCTCGTCAAACTCTGATACAACGACATGATCACATTTATCTTGCATTGGTAAACGCTCATATGCTGATATTGGTGAAACTTTTGGTGAGTCGGCTGAAACTGTTTCTGTGGAAGCTGTTGTTGGTGGTGTTGTGGTTGAGGCTGCTGATGCTGTTACTGTGGCGCCAGTGGCTTGGGTTGGTGATGTTGTGGTTGAAGGTGTTGTTTTTGGTGGTGTGGTAGATTTTGGTTGCTCTTTAGTGCTTTCTCTTGCTGAATTTGTTGGGCTAACATTTGGTGGTGAATCTGCTTTATCTTTATTATTGTGAGGTTTACGATGAGTAATTTGTGGTGAGGGTGGAGTTGGGTTTATAGTTTGTGAAGATTTTAATGGTGATTGTACAGTATTATTATTATCTGATGATTTATCTTTTACAAGATTATTTAAACTGGATGAAGACTCTTGTTTGGCTAAAATTGGTTCAAATGTGGAAGGCGATGAAGAAATAACGTCTTCACCTTCATCACCAACTGGAGATTGATCAGAAAGTGGGTGATCAATAGTTTGATCTTTTGACTGTCTATGATTTGAAAGTATATCAATTTGTGAACTGTTTCTCTTGCTAGGTCCAATACTTCCTGAAGAAAATCCACCACTATTATTTAAATTATCACTACCATTTGATTCAAAACTATCTTTTCTTTCAATTTTTGAATTTAACATTTTATTTGATGGTGATGGCGAAGGTGATGGTGTTCCAGTTTTATTATTGCCAAATTTACTACTATCACTACTATTACTATTTGTATCGTCTACAATATCACTATTGGTATCTTGAGATGTTGAAGCTGTTGAAGCTGTTGCTGTTTTAAATGTTGAACTATTATTATTGCTATTATTGCTATTATTATTATTTGTTGATGGTCTAAATGTTGAAAAGGTTGGATTTTCTACAAATGGACTATCATCAAATGCTGATGGTGGTGGTGGTAATTCAATTTCTTCATTTTCATTTGAAAATTTAATAAAACTTCTTTCTTTAACATCCTTTGCTTCAATAGCATCTGAAAGCATATCTTCAAATATTTTAGTTCTTGTTCCACCACCTTGACTAATAATAGTTGATAATGTTGCAAAAGCTAAATCTCTACTTAAAAATGCTGAAAAGAAATATTTATGATCTTTATTTTGAACCTCGATTGCATTTGGAAATAAATAAACTGAATTCTTTTTTGAAATTGATGTAATTTCTTTAATTGGTAAAACAATCTTTAAAATTATAAAATAAAAAACCATTATTAATAATTTATTGTTTTTCTAATTATTATTATAACACTTTATAACTTACATGAGTTGAGCCTATTTTAGATGCATAAGAAACATGGTGTTGTGAAATATAAAGTTTACCAATTGATACGGCTGCACCTTCGTTATAACTGCATGTATACTCTTCAATTAATTTTTCGTCTAATGGTAATTGTGTAAATAAAAGATGAAACTGGCTATCATCTTTTGTTGCAACAGTCATCTTCATAAGTTTCTATTAAATTTGTATTATTTAAACTAATACTATTTTATAAATGATATTAATATAAATGAATATTACAGAAAATAATAATTTACAATAAAAAAAATAAAAAAATTTTAAAAAACTATAAAGAAAAAATGTTATAGTATTATAACTATTATTAAATAGATTTCTATTTAAAAATAAAATTAATTAATTATAAGATATAAAAATAATGTAATAAATAAATAGTGTGTGATATATACGTGTTTTAACGCTGTAAATAAAAAAATTATTATTTTTATTTTTATTTAAAAAATTAATAAAAATAAAAAAACACAAATAACAACAACAACAAAAATAGAAAAAAGAAAAAAATATGGAGAAAACAAGTGCACTAATTAGTAGATAATTTTTTTTTCCTAAATTAATATATAATAGTAAATGTAGTATGCACGAAATATTGAGAGAAAAGAAATTTGTTATTTCTTGTGTTAAAGTGTGTGAATGTGTGTGATTATATTTTTATATAAAATAAATGATATGAATAAAAAAAATAATTTTATAAACAAAAATAATTTTAATTTATCACAATTTTGTAAAAAATGTTTTATTATTTTATTATTATAATATTTGAAGTAAAAGTAATAATACTTTATTTTAAACGAGAAAAAACAAAAAACCAATGATAGATATGATTAAATGATATTCTCATTATTATTCTACCATTATGATAAATGATTCATTTTACTATTTTAAGTAGAAACAAAACTATTATTTAATATAAAGCAACAAACCTTTTATTTATAAAACTATATAACTTTTAATATTATAAATGCAATATAATATAAAATTATTAAGAGAAAAAAAAAAAAAAAGTATTGAAATTTTTTTTTAAAAAAAAGTGTGTTTTAAAAATTAATAAATTATTTTAAAAAAAAACACAATTTTTGCGTATGGGAATACAAAAAGTTAAATTTAAAATTAACCTGTGGTGAATATAGGGTGGTGTGTGTGAGGGGTAAATAAGATAATTGAATTGAGTATATATTAAAAAGAGAATGAAACATTGTGTTTCTTATGTGTGTTGAATAATTATTTAAAAAATTAATAAATTTAATTTTAAAAAAATAAATTATAAAAAACGGTGGGAGGGGTAATGAATCTTAACATATAGCTATAGCCATAGTTATGCCTTTTTGGTACTATTATTATATTGTTGGTGTTTGTTGCTATTATTACTGCTATTGCCATGCTATGCTAAACTATATAACAACGAGATTATTGTGTGTCAACAATAACATCAACAAAATGATCTATACGATTAAAAACAAAAAAATAAAATAAAATAAAATTTTTAAAGATGAAATATGTGTGGTGTATATTATTCTTGGTTTTGTTTTTACTTAAAGAAATATGGAATAAATGACGAATAATGGTTGCATTATTATAACAATCTGTTAAAAATTAAAAAATAACCTGATGCTATAATCTTTTACTTTTTGTAAAAGCCTAATGTGGATGAATTATATAAACTTACATTATATATAATATAAATATTAATTTATTGAATGGAAATTATTTGACTGAAAGTTAAAGTTTTGTAAAATAAAAAAAAAAAAGTAAGTAGAAAATTATTTTATTTTATTTTTTTATTTTTTTAATTTTTTAAAATTTAACTTTTTATTATTTTTTTAAAAAAAAAAGAAAAATAGAAAATAAATAAATAGCAATCTGTAATGTGTTATTATTATTATAAATGAATGTCTATTATTTTATACAATTATTTTTCAATATTTAAATTAAATTATTGTAAAAAAAAAAATAATAAAAATAAAAAAAATAAAAAAAAAAAATAAAAAAATACCAGAGAACGTGTGTTGATGAAAAAAAAAATAAAATAATTATTGTATATTTTTAAAAAATTTAGAAAAATAAAAAAAAAAACAATATAAAATAAAATTTATAAAAAAAATCTTTTTTTTTTTTTTGTTAATTAGAAAAAAATAAAATTAAAAAAAATAAAAAAAAAAATAATATAATTTACGTTGGTGGGTATTGTTTAAATTTTGTTAATTTAGAATCTGCAGATGGAATTCTGAATGATGTCACAACAACTATAAGCTCTCGCAAAATAGAGACCCATTGAGAGTTTTTGATCGTAACAAAAATAATGCATAATAAGTTTACTAAAAAATAATAAAAGGATATTTAAAATAATTGGTTTTTAGGAGCAGGTATATTTTTATTGTTAATTTATTAAGAAAAAAAAAAATAATTATATAAAAATTATATATTTATTTTTTTTTATCTTTTTTTTGGGCTTTTTTTTTTTTTTTGAGTTTTTTTTTTTTGGGTTTTACAAATTGATTAATATTATTGATGTTAACAAGTTTGTTGTTTTGAATTTGGTGGGAAAAAATAGATGTTGGAAAAGTATAGAAATTTATAATTTGAATATTTTTGGTTATTAAAAAAAAAAAAATATAAATTATTATTATTTGATTATTGTTTTGATTATGAAAAAACATCTTGGTTCATGCTTGGGTTTTGCTCTATTTTCTTTAAAATAAACTCTGCTGATTTTTCAAATGCCTATTTTTTCAAGTTTTTTTTTTTTCAAGTTTTTTTTGTTTTTTTTTTTTTGGCGAAGTGTTGATATTGGGTTTTGAAATTGAAACAGAAATAAATTAAAATTAAAATAAAATAAAATTAATAAAATGTTATAAATAATCTCGATATTGTTTATAGTTTTCCTAAATCTATTATTATATGATTTGAGATGAATAATTTTATATTAAAACTTACAAGATCGACATTTTGACCAGTTTAGCAGAGGTTTCAAAAACATTAAACTATTTTATCGGCAAATTCTTGAGCCTCAGCGGTTGAAACTGTCTACCTGTATCCATATCTGCTTTATTTCCAATTAAAACAATAGTGACATCAGATGATGAGAATTTTCTACAATCGGAAAGCCATGATGCTAAACTTTCAAATGATTCTCTTCTAGTGATATCATACACAATCATTGCACAAGCGGCTCCTCTATAATAGGCCCTAGTGATCGATCTGAATTTTTCTTGTCCTGCTGTATCCCAAATTTGTAATTTAATTTGTTTATTTTCTATATTTAATGAACGTGAACTACAATATTATTATTATTTGTATATTAAAATTAGTACAATATCACTACAGTTGTCTATATTATCTATTTTTTGTAAAAGTATAATAATTACCCAAATTCAACACCAATTGTAAAATCTGAATTTGGAACAAATCTTTTATCTATAAATTGTAATAATAAGTTACTTTTACCAACCGCTATATTAAAATAATTAGTAAGTTATATTATTTTCTTATTTTTTTTTTATTTATATTGCTATAAAATATCCGCTACTGCTATAAATATCTATTTAAACATACCAGAATCACCAACCATAATATATTTAAAGAGTTGTGTATGTGAAGATGTTTTTCTATCGTTAAAAGTTGGTTTTTCAGGTTCTGATTGACAATTACACATGATTTATTTGTTGTTTGAAATGTTGTTGTTTTTTAGTTTTTATAGTTTAAATTTTTGATATCACAATAGAAAAAAATGGAAAAAGAAATAAAAAAAAAATTTTAATTTTAAAATATTTTTTTTTTTTTTTTAAAATTATTTTTAAATTTTTTTTAATTTTTTATTTTATTTTAATTATTATTATTAAAATAAAAAAAAAAAGATTATTTTAATTATTTAATAAAATTCTTTGTGGGTATTATTTATTTATTAATTTATTATTTTAATTTAATTTTTAATTTTAAATTATAATTATTTTTTATTTGTTTATGTGTGGTGTGTGTTTGTAATAATTGAAAAAAATTAATATTTATACTTTTTTATAAATCTTTTTTTTTAAATTTTAATTTTTTAAAATAAATGTTAAATGAAATAAATATTTATTTAAAACGGATAAGAGAGACAATCTGTTTTGTTTTCAATAAAAAAAATTATTTGATTTTTTTTTTTTTTTTTATGATTTTTTATTGATTTTTTTTTTTTATGTGAAAAATTTTATTATAAAACAAATTGGATTTATTAAGTATGAAAACTCAAAAAAATAAAATCAAAAAGGTGGTGCCAGCAAACAAAATTTGAGAGGAAACTTCTCTTTTTTTATTTTTATTTTTATTTTTGAAATTAAACACCGTGGCATATAAAAGAAGAAAAAGTATTTTAAAATAAAAATAATATAAATTATAAATAAAATGGTTTTTTTTTTTTTGGATAAGTTTATTCCCGATTAAAAGTTATCGATCTTAAATTCCAAATGATTGAGATGAGATTTATTGTAAATTTAAATTATTATAATTTTTTAAAATAGTTAGGGAATAGGAAATATTGTTTATTATACAAAAAAAAACATCATTAGACAATCTTTGTCTATATTCTAAACAAAGATAAATTGGTTTGTGGGGTTACAACAGTAGTAATTGATGACTATAGTATAGATTGCGGAATAAAAACGTTAG